AGCTGCGTTGTTCAGCAAATTACCATGCGAATGCGATTTGAATACGCGCTGTTTAGCACTTGTGATACATTTTTAAAAGGCGGTGAATATATATAATATTCAAATGTATATCGAAATATCGGAAATGTGTTTAAAAATCGTATCACCGTTATCGAAAAAAATTCTATCGCGATATATATTGATATCGAATTATTGTCCAGCCCTACACAGTGTCATACAAGAGCGAAGATGCTAGATAAGCAAGGTGGGAGTATGGTTCCAGCAGTGATAGAGTGCTGATAAAATTGGGAGCTATATTAATGGATGATTTTTCCTGATTCATGGTTTTTAGGAGGAAGATGTATACAACAAGTATGACACAGAGGAATTTGAAGGCTTTGAGAAGTCCAGTTCTCCTCCTAAGGATGAAATCAATTTCTTGATGGTAAGGTGTCTTCCATATGGGTGAATCTGATAACCCCATCTGGCCTGTGGTTCAAGGAAGAGCTGTGTGGCTTTTTCTTAGATGGGTCGCCTTTAATTACCATTTGACAAACTGCTGAAACAGCTTTAAAGCTTTTTTGTGTGTGCCTGGTTTTCCTCTTGCATTGCCTCTCGTTTATTCAAAGGCTTTGTATACCCTTATTTTCTAGTTTTGGGGGGGGGAGTTAAAGCTATTTGGAATGATTTGAAATAATTATCTTCAGTCATGCCTCAGCTCCACTTGTCATGAAATGAGCGGAGGAGTAGTCAGCAACAGTGTTAGATGTGATTATTTATTTATTTATTTTATTATTATTATTATTAAATGAAACTCCCTGGTTCTGTGTGATGTGTTCATGTGGCTCTGACCCTCAGGTCCCTTCCCACCTGCACAGCGGCTGGGAGAGCTACTACATAGAGATTCTCATGGTAACTGGGCTTTTGACCTACATTGGGAACTACATCATTGGCAAGAACAAGAACAACCGGCTAGCGCAGGCCTGGCTCAACTCTCACAGAGAGCTTCTGGAGAAGAACTTTGCCCTTGTAGGTGAGAAGCAAGTCTTTTCTGATTAGCTAGTAGGGATTTTTTGTGTTACAGGGGTGAATGGTACACAAAATCTCATGGTTTCGTACAAACGTCGGTTTTGGGTTCACAGTTCAGTGCAATTTCATTACAGCAGGGAATATTTATTTTCAATTCATTAGTTACTAATAAAACCACTAACTAAGGCAGAAAAAAAGCATTTATCTACTGAAAATGAAGCTTGACTAGATACTGAGTTAGGGTGATCAGATACTCCATGGGGGTATTTTTTGTACAGTATGTGGATTACTCGTTTAGCCGGATGTAATTGACGATTTGGCATGATCCTGGATCTGTTGCTTTTTCGAAACTGTTGCTGGATGTGTTGTCATAGCAGCACATCCAAATCCTCAAGCCTGCTCGGAACAGGTTTGTTCTACGTAAACAAGGATTAGCTCACACACTTAATCAGTGTCCGTGCATGGAAATCCGTTGGAAGATGGAATATTATGTTTTACAGATTTATTAGCTCTGTATAGTAGTCCAACTAGGCGAAGTTGGGCTCTCACAGCCACACAGACAATGTGCATTGCCTTGAGATATTTTGCAAGTGGCACTTTTTTGTATACTGTACAAAGAGTACAGTTTGCCTGGCAATTCGCTGTTGTTTTGCCTGGACTCCTGCGAGTGCAGGCAATTAAAGAGACATTTTATGCCATTGCAGGTAATGTATACGCAATAAAATTACAGTTCTATAAAGAATTTAAAAATCACACTAATATTCTTATTACCCATGAAAATACCCCCCATGTCAGTGAGGACACTAAAGATTGGACAAGATTTGTAAACTGTCATGTTAATTGAAGAAAGATTCATCCACCTTTTTTCAGTTAACGCTAGTGACACTGGTAACACATGATGATTATAGGAGTAGGCCTGCCACGGTAATTACGTTATCGACTTATCTTACAATATATGGACATAACCATGATCATTTTTCTGACCTCGATATTGGCGAATTGTGCTTGCATAACAATGAATGCCCCCAACATGAATGAATGCCAGTATCACTGCTTCTGCCCCATCGTCTACTTGCTGTGTCACAAGCGTGGCCAGGGTTGGGTAAGATACTTGTAAAAATGTAATCTGTAAGGTAATCTAAGTACAGTGGTACCTCAGTAGATCATTAGAACTCGAATTTCTTAAAAGTCGAACCAACCAGTTAGAATTTTTTTTTTACCTAGAACTCGATCTGAATCTCAGAAGTCAAACCGTGAACACCGACCTTAGGTAAATGAGTCACGTGGCACGTCTTTCAGCGGAAACAAAGGGTAACGCTTCAGTCTCAGCCTCGCATTTGCTGTGATAGCACCGTGCATGTTTACACTA